ATTAAGCTTGGATCAAAAAGCCAGTTTGTCAGCAAGCCTCTCAGGATCCCTCGGTTCTCTCTGTCCACTATGTGTTTTAAACTAGTGTAAGACGTTGCTGCTTTTATTACACATTGCTGTTTTGTCGGCGTTTCCTCTGGGTTCATGCAAAGAGCCTTCAAAGGAATGAAACATCATAGGAATGCAGGCAATTTGTGCATATTTCATTAGCAGGGAGCAGAAGAGGTGGAACATTCCCAGTAATTGTTACAGAAGTGAAGAAAAACAGTGATTATACTCCGTATCTGTACAGAGAATGAAATGAAAAGATAAATCATGGCCTACACGCACGTTGGTACACATGGCTTAATTATTTTTAATTGACTGCCGTGGACTATTGTCCTTCTTTAATAATATTAACTTGGCGCATTGATTATCTTTCAAATTGCAATGGGCAGCAAATGAGTAACAACGGACCCTTTAACCCTGTACTTTTAGTAAATCACTGCCAAACTCTTGTTGTTAAATTGATCTGTAATTCACTTGCATGTCAAATAAAGTGTTTTATTATCAATTTCTTTCAGCTGTGGGTGCCAAGTCATTTCAAGTATTACATATTTATAATCAAACAGAACGAGAATGTAGATAAGAGGCAACCAATCAGCACCGACGTCCTCTGAATACCATAAGAAGTCCCCTCTAGCATAAGTGTGCTGTTTAGCCTGCAGGTCAGTCTTAAAAATGGTCTTATCCTCACCTCAGCAGCGGTTGCGCGTAAATAAATGTGTGTTTTTCTTTCGGCAGTAAGTCGTAACAGTCATTAACCCCAATAATGGGACTTTCTCCGAGGGTAATGACCTAACTCAGCTCAGTTCAAGGAGCTAATTGACTCAAAAGTTAGAGTGAAGCAGGTAAAAAGAGAAAGTTTGTGGTGTTTCTGAGAGATAATACATACACCCGAAGTATGGACACTGGTTTCTCTTTCCCAGCAGGGACATGGAGCCTGGAGGGTTGTGGGATTTGGCGAAAAAGAACCTCAACATAAAAGGGCAAACTTTTGACTGATCAGCAAGAGGAACTGGAGATCAATGAGGACTGTTTGAGGCTTTGAAGCCTGAGAGGAGTTTGCCGATCGATGGAGAACTGTCCACTTGTTAGTGTTTTCCAAAACCTGGAGAAAACAAGCAGTGTTTCAGCAAAGCACAGTGCAGAACAACACTACAACTTTTCCTCTTGCTCTCTCCTTGGCCTTCACTCTGTCTCTCCCTCCAGCATGGGGTAATTGGACTGACAAAAATAAAATGCCGTGTTTCTACGTGAGGTGAATCTGCAAAAAGTTTAAGATATTAAAAGGAGGGGATATTGTGTTTTGTTTTTCATAGCTTTTATCATTAGATTTAGATTGAAGAGGGTCAAAGTGTTAAGTCAAACACTGCATTTATTATATATATTGCTGGGTATTTTGTCACATTATTCATTAAATGGCATTCCCCTCACGTAGCTAAAGGAACAGGGACAGTCAAAATGGCCTTTCAGTCCTCCTGTAAAAAAAGTCCTTAAGGTCAGTTACATCTATCTGGGTTATAAATGCACAACCTCCTACTTCCTCTCTCACCTTTAAAAGAAAACTTTCCACTTCACCGTCTTACTCCTTTCCCTCTCCGACCTCTCTATTATTTGTATTTCCTCTCGCTCTCTTGGCTCGCTGCTGTTTTGGTTATCAATGATTGCCTCAAATACCTTCCTCCCCCTCTCCATCACGAGGGCGGTGATGTTGTCATGCGCAGGGCGTTGCACCTCTGACTTCATATCGCTTTCCATCAGCAGGAAGTGCAGCAGGAAGCACATTTTTCTCACGCCTTCACACAGAGTCAGGTGGGATACGAGGGACTCACTTTCATCCTGAGCCCATGGACACTTTTTCTTTCAATCCATGGCCGCCCGATGAAATATGAATCAAAAACAGTGCTCCAGGCTTATGCTTGCCTTGAAAGAAGAACTCAATTTAAAGTCTCCAAAGGGCGAGAAGCTGCTAGCTGCCCTGCATGGCAGTGTTTGGATATCAGGGTGTAAATCATGGATTTTCAGGACAAGAAACAAACTACACAACATTTATTGTTTTGTTTTTTTCATTTCTACTATATTAATTTCTACTATATACCCCATCACCCCAGCCACAAACTGTTCAGTCTGCTGCCGTCTGGCAGGCGTTACCACAGCATCCGGACAAAAACCACCAGATTCAGAGACAGTTTCATCCCACAGGCAATAAGACTGTTAAACACCTGAACTGTTGTAATAACATCCATAACATTCATCTGCTACTTAGTAATTATTTATCTATTTATCTAATATATCATTCCAATAGCTTGCATATAGACTCTTATTTCACTATTTCACTATTTCACTTTTTTTAAGCTATTTTTCTTTTTGTATTTACTTTTTAATATTTACTTGCACTATATTTTTCTGTTTTTCTGTATTATTGTGTTGCACTGTTGGAGAAGACTGTGACCTAAGATTTTAATCGACATAACTACTCTGTAGCTATGTTCGTATGACAAATAAAGAACCTTGAACCTTGATACGCAATGTCCTTACAGAGGTTTTACTGCCAGGGCTTTTTAAAGCTTTTTTCTCTGGAACTTACTCTTGTTGATAAGTGAGGTAAGGGTGTGCAAACCAGGGTGTTGGACGGGTTCGTACCATACTGTATCTGCCAAAACCAGAAAGCTTTCCATAACATTAAGAGCTTAATCATAGCAGAATGAATACCGTATTTGCCATGTGCAGATATTGTATTTATGTAGTGTAAAAACAGTAGCACTGAAAATGTAAAATGTTATTATAAGTTATGATGGTCGTCTTATTAGCTCCTACAATGCCTGGATTAGGAATACCGCTATTTTACAAATAAGTCTGCTCATCGTAGATCACCCTCATCATATAGTGGTTAGTACTCTGCGTTGTGGTTGCAGCAACCCTGGTTCAAAGCCGGGACACAGCATTGTGGTACAATGTCAGGGCAGATGGGCAGTATTTGGGGTGGCAGTAGCTAGGGCTGCTCGATTATGGCAAAAATCATAATCTCGATTATTTGGGTCAATAATTGATATCACGATTTACTTACTTTGAAAACATCCATTTATTGAAAAAAAATGTTTGAACAGTATGTTTTTAACAGTTGATTAGCCTGAACTTTAAAGGTAGGGTAGGTAAGTTTGAGAAACCGGCTCGAGTGCGCTAGAATTTGAAAATACACAGCCGGAAAAAATCTGCCACTTCCTTACAGAGCCCCTCCTCCAACACACACGAACGCGCACATGACCAATGAGGGCACGAGATAAGTTTGTGCACAGATGGAAGGCTGACAGGCAGGTAGGCCATCCAGTTATTTTAGCCGGCCCGGCTAAAATGATTGGTCGTGCTTTTTACAGTATTACGGCTTCCACAGATGACATTTTTTTATGGATTTTTTGTCAAAGCACTTCAGATATTCATTGCTATCGGGATGTTAAGAGCATTCCATGGAATATAACAAAAAGTGTATCTCGAGCCGGTTTCTCAAACTTACATACCCTACCTTTAAGTATAATTCAAATGAAAAACCAATAAAAAAAAATAAATAAAAAAATAATCGTTTTATTTCGATTATGTTGTTTTCATAATCGTTGCAAGCCAAAATCGTAATTGCGATTAAAATACGATTAATTGAGCAGCCCTTGCAGTAGCTCAATCTGTAGGGTTGCTGGTTCGAATCCAGATCGGACCAAAGAGATACAGACGTGCCAAATGGAGAGGTGACAGTTTACCTTCCTGGACACTGCTGAACTGCCCTTGAGCAAAGTACTGAACCCCCAACCTCTCCATGTCACCAGAAAACATGGCACCCTCTTCGCTCTGGCACCTCTCCATAAAAAGTGTCTATGCATGTGTTCAGAAGTTTATTTGAAAAACTGAATTATAGGGAATAATAAAGGGTGATCTTCCATCTTCTTTTTACAATATAGGACGTTACAAACTAAGATGGAGTGAATATATTTGGAAAAGTAATCCATAAATAATGTGATAGTAGTGATTCATCGTTTTCCAAATCGCTTGTATTGTTTCAAATCATTATACTTGTATCATAAACACTTTTCATTCATCTCCTTGTCTCAGTTTATTCGAGTGCTGGTATTTTCTACACATTAATATTCATGCGCTGTGTTTCACACTTTACATGCTTCTCGTTGATGCTCAAGTGTCCTTTCACAAATTGTGGGTGTTATATATAATACCCTTCATTTGCAGGTCTTATTTATGCTCTCTTTTCCTCTGCTGGATACTAATATAATTTGTTGCTGCAGTGTCTCAATTAAAGTTCCACGTGTCGTATATCTAATGGGAGATTACATGTCTCCGAAGTGTTTGGCTCCAAACACCAAACAGATCATTGCAGCATCCCATAATCCCCTCTGTTTCAGCCCTGATTCAAAAGTGCTCTGTCTGTTACTTTAGATGAAAATAAGGAGCCCCTCCCCACGCCCCTCTGAGAGATATTTGGTTAAAAAGAACACAATGGTGCTCTAGGAGGAGATTCAGGTGATAAGGTGGGGGGGGGGGGGGGGTTACCTTGGTTGGTGATTGGCTAATGGTTACACAAGCCCAAACATCGTTATGACATCATAAAGTGGCCAAAATCTGATCAGCTCATTTTCAGACAGGTTTTTATAGAAATGGATCAGGACAAAAAGAGAGAGAATCTTTGTTCCTGAAACTTTCAGAGTCTCTTTACACAGAGGGGACACATGTTGATGTAGAAGAGACATGAAGAAGAGGGGACACATGTTGATGTAGAAGAGACATGAAGAAGAGGGGACACATGTTGATGTAGAAGAGACATGAAGAAGAGGGGACACGTGTTGATGTAGAAGAGACATGAGAAAGTAGATTTTGCATAATAGGTGACCTTTAACAACTCAATCGATTCATACCTCCTGAATGCTCAACTCCATCTCTTTGCTCCCCGATGTGTTCAGGAGCAGAGCCCCAGCAACGCCACATCCCTGGCGATGATGCAGGAGCCCCAGGAGGTGGTGGAGGAGACGGTCACCATCGAGGAGGACCCCGGCACCCCCACCTCCCACGTCTCCGTGGTCACCTCCGATGACGGCACTACACGGCGCACAGAAACAAAGGTAAGATGGAAGCCACGTCATAGACTATATGATCAGAATCAGAAACAGGTTTATTACCAGGTAGGTTTACACGTACGAGGAATTTGACTTGTTGTCGTGGTGCATTAAAAACAAGAATTAAAGACACAGGTAGAGAACTAGAAAAATATTTTAAATAATTAAAAAAATATAGTCAAATATTTACATTGCAATGGAATGAAATAGAGGAATTAAATATGGAATAAAAATCAGCTGTAATACAAAATGAACACACACAATGTACACCATATCTGTTTTCTTGGTTTGTATTACAGCCACATTTTATTCCATTCTATTTCTATATAAATACTGCTATATTTTATATTATTTTTAATATTTTTCAATGTTATTTTTTATGTATGCATCATGACATCAAGTCAAATTCCTCATACGTGTAAACCTACCTGGTAATAAACCTGTTTCTGATTCAGATTCTGATTCTGAAAAAGGTATTTATTGACCAAGTTTGCTTTTTGTGACCAACTTTCTATTGTTATTTAGTTGCAGAATTTAAACGATAATACAAAAAGCAAGAGAAAAAATAAGAAAAATGTCATCTTTTTAAACTGAATTGACATTGAGTCCTCTCCTAATCATCTACCAGTACATCAAGGTGTGCATATATGTACAATTATATTTACATGAATGATATAACCAGATCAGCAATAACCTCTAGTGTTTCTCCTTTAGCTTGTTAACAGAAGCGATTGACAGCGCTGAAATTAATACGTCATGGAAGGAAGATATCCATCGCTTGATAAATATATTATGTGGGGTTTCCATCATATTACAAACATATTTTTGGCTGCGGTTTAAACCAGGGAAAAGCATCCTTTTCTGATGGTTTAATAAGTTGAGAGAGGAGTCATCGTTCAGCAATACAATGTTTGGGAGACATGGTATCTGAATCATCTTAGATACAATGTCAATCACTTTGAGTGTTGTTAGATGCTGTTAGCTGTTATTGTAGCGCTACTTAGCATTAGAATAAAAAACTTAGCTATAAAAGTGATCCATCTAATATAACCTCCTGCTGATTTTGCGTCTGCTTCCCACTATCACACCTGAGCAGGACTCCTCGGAGCGGTGGCATTGTTGTGGCAAACAGATCCCATTGAGCTCGTAGCTGCAAAAGCCTCCAAATCCCCTTTGATCCATTTCAATATTGCTTCAAATTATGGTTATGGATTAGCGCTTCCAAACAACACGGTACCGTACCTCCTCTCCCAGACTTCCTCAAGAACTCCGAAGCCCATAATCCTTCAGCCCAAGGAGGTCTCATCTCCCTCTCACGGCTTCATTGATTTGATTATTGTGTTTTTATGAGCCCGCTACCTCTGGTGTTTCTTTGCTTCTTAAAAGCTCTTTTGTTGATTTCGTCCTCTACTGTGTTTTGTTGTTTTTCTATAAGGATGTCTCCTCTAACGTGAAGGTGAGTAGACTTTCATACCAGTATAGCTTTTTCCCACCAACGCCACCATTTTAATGTGCAGCAGTGTGCACCACAGTCTGCTTCACCCCCAGCCAAATAATGCTCCAGTCTACTCTCTACAATACACCGCTTGTTGCTTTTACCTTTGAGACGAGAGCCATTCTCTATTCTGTTTTTAATATTTCTTTTGCATGGCCCTCTATTTCTCTCTTTTTTTATTTCTCTCTTCTGAGTTCTGTCTTACAACATCCCTCATTGACATTCAACTAGGTAAAAAAATACCACTTCTCAGAACTAATAACTAAATGTCCCCATACAGAATGATCACAAATGAAAAAGGTTTTTAGTAGGTAACTGTAATCTTTCAATTAAATCCACTTAAAGGACCCACTATAAATAAGTCTCAGAATGATGTTTTTGCCAGCTGTAGCCTCGTGATAGCTTGGTCTTTATTTTTGAACTATATTAACTACCAATTTTCTCGAACATTTGCTCCTCCAAGTCATTTTCCACCACTTTGAAGACCCCAGTACTGAAAAGTAATTTAAGTGGCATCAGTTATCTGCAATTGCTGGAACCACAATGTCTTCTTCTTGGTGTCAGGTTGGGATTTTGAACAATTTCAGGTGTTTACAGCGTGTTTTGGAAGTATGCATTTCACTTCTAAGTCTGAATTCTTCCCTATCTATACACGGGGAAGGATTCCCACCAGAATCCAAGACAGATTTTCATTTGAAAGACATGAATCACATGGGGCTTCCTTTTTTGCTTCCAAGTTTTGTGACAAATCCTCAAAGATAAGCAGCATTTTGCTCCTGATTTGGATGTAAACGTCTGCACCGTTAACTCCCGTATGCTGTATGCTTCCAGTGAGTCGGAGAGCACTGTGTGTGGAGCTCTTACTCTAGGGACTGTGAAACTGTAATTAAAAAGCCTGGACTAATCCCTCATCAGGGAGGGCCCATTGCCCTCCAGCCTGTTTACTGTGAAGTGGGTTGGCCACACACACTCACACATGATTTTATGCATTCATACATACGGTAGACCTTCTTAGGGATAAAGCACTCGGCAGTCAGACAACACACTAATCAAGGAGCTTTGCTGCTGAGGAAGGAAAGAGGAAGGACGTGCCTTTTAAAGGGCCGGGAGGAGGATCTCTGGAAGTCACTTTGAGGAGAAAAGCAGATTAATGCTCAGGGTGAACTTCTAGCAGCCGGCGTATAAATGTGACGGCAAATAGATCCAGAACGAGCCGAGAGTTTACCCAAAGTAACCCTCTCCTTGTCGTCCTCACTTTTTTTGTCCCCATCTCTCTGACTTACTTTCATGTGTAGTTTTCCACCCTCTCTCCGTTTCTATCTCTCCACTCATCTCGCAGCAACTCGCAGTTTTATTTATGTGCTTATCTGTTCTTTTGAACCAAAGTCTTGCCATACTGTCTAATGCTAACACACTCCTTTCCCTTGATGGTTATCCCCCATCCCACTGCTGCAAGATGAAACACAGAACCTATCTTCCTGATTTGCAGGCAAAAAAAAGTTTTTTCTACACTGATTTAGTATCAGCAACATTACTAGTTGGAGTACTGAGAAAGGAACAGACAGAGTTGTTGAATATGAGAGCAAAAATAGTGTGTTTGTGCAGGGGGTCAGATTCAGTTTCTGCACACAAATTCAATTAATGTAGGAATTTTTTCATTTGCAATTGGAAAACAACTATGAACAGCCTTTCAATTGCAGATTAACTGCTGGCTGTTGTTGTTTTCAATCAATTCAACTCATAGTGAATTGGCCCTGGACCCTGAATGAATGTACGGGCTAAATTAGATCCACGTGCGTCCTTCTGTCCCAGCCTGCCATGCTTTCCCTTGGCCATCATCCAGCCCTTTCTCCCTGCTGGCAGCCGCTCTGAATGCAACACCGCTCATGTTGAAGGAAGAGCTCAGTTGGACCAGTGAAAGATGCATTGCTCTCCCTTCCCTCTGGATATGAGCTAATGGGAGTTGAGGCAGACCACACAAACAAATAAAGCACTTTCACTACCGCGCGCACGCCGGGGAGCTGACTTTGAATAGGTAGAGGTTTGTTTCAAAGGTACAGCTGTTGAGGTGCTACTGTTGAATGGAACTGACCGAAGAACAGACACCTTTTTCTACTCAGAGAACAGACTCTCTCGGCTTCAATAAGCAGTCTTTAAAATATCCACAGGAGTGCAGGTAGAAAACTCTCTCAGATGATTGCTATATAGCCAATGCTGGAAAAAATATTTTAATTCTTTAAAAGTGAAAGTACTAATACCACACTGGGAGAATACTACATTTCAGGTAAATGTACTGCATCGAGAATGGTACATAAGTAAAGTATTGAAGTATGATTAGGAAAATGTACTAAAGTATTTGGAGTAAAAGTAGTCATTGTAGGAAAAACTCCAAAAATATTTTATAACAAAATCTGCCAATTTTCACATTTAAGAAGCTCGAACTGTGAAATATTTTTGAACATAAAACTTCTTAACAAAATTGCTGCCATTTTCTTTTCTGTTAACCCATTCATTGTTTTAGATACTTAAATTAATGTTGGATTGTTTAATACCGAAAAGTTAAAATACATCTGTAAAATAAATGTAGTGGAGCAAATAATACATACTTGGCTTCCAACATGTAGTAGGGTAGAAGTATAAAGTACTATAAAATGAAAATACTACCTCAAATGTAGTAGGGTAGAAGTATAAAGTACTATAAAATGAAAATACTACCTCAAATTTGTACAGTTCAGTTCTTGAATAAATGTACTTAGTTACTTTTCACCACTGTATGTAGCCCAGTATTGTACAAGTTATTCTCAAACCATGTGCTTTAAAGCAACAGGTTGGAAGTACGTGTGTGCAAAATGAAATCTAATGCCGTTTACTGAGAGCTCTCCCCACCCGTTCCTTTAAATCTAGGTGACCAAAGTGGTCAAAACCATCACCCGCCGCACCTACCACCCAGTCCTGGTGACTGACAGCTTGTCAGTGGAGTCCAGACCTGGCACCCGGACCCCCACCCCGGTCTCCAACTCCACCCCCACCCCAACGGAGACAGAGCCAGTAATGGACGCCTCACCCTGCGTGATGTTTGCTGTGTTCCCCCCTCCTCACCCGCCTGCCTCCTCCCTGTTCCTCTAACACAGGGGTGTCCAAATGTTTTTCACCGAGGGCCACATACAGAAAAATATACGAAGGGCAGGGCCACTCACTAGAGGTTTATGGCCTCATAAGTTAAGTTATAAGTTAGCAAAATCCATCAAATGTAGGTAAATGATACTTGTTACTTGAATATGCTTTAAGAAACACCACAGCCTACATCACAGCTCTCCAGAGGGTTTCATTTATTGTGTCAGCAGCTCATTCCTTAAAACAGAAGCCTCAGATTACTTATAATAAGAGGAAATATGAAGGGTAGATTTCACGCTTGTTATACAAATAAGTTATTGGGCTTTTTTCTTATCAACTTAGATTTGTTTGAAATTGATACTTCTAACAAATCTAAGTTGATAAGAAGCTTTTTTATTTTGAAACATTGGGCTTATTAACACGATGAATACTACTGTATAATATCTGTTTTCATCTATATTTACGAAGTACAAGACAAGCACAAGTTTCATTTGAGGGCCATACTGCATTATACTTTTTGGATTAGCTGAGGGCCGATTCAAAATGCACTGCGGGCCGCATTTGGCACCCTGGCCGTAGTTTGGACACCCCTGCTCTAACATCATGTTTTAAAGAGCCCTACATTTTTCCACTTCTACTTTCCAGCAGTGTGGAGAAAATTACTTGCGCAGATGCTCTTCAGATGAGGCTGAAATAAATCACAGGCCACACTATCACAGGTTGCTTATAGAAATCTAAATGACTACCTCAGTTTCTCCCCACCGTGTCCATTTGAGCTCTCAATAAAGTGCATGCCGCAGAGGTTGTGAAACCTCTTTAGGAGCTGCAAAGTGCTGCCTTTCCCTCCATTTTTAATAGTTTGGTAAAAAGTGTGTATCAGTGGTTGTCTCAAAACACTTTTCAGTACAGCCTCTCCATGCATACACATTTAGAGTATATGTTCCCATCCTCTCACTCTACCATTTGAGCAATTCTCTTTTAGCCTTGTTTACCCCTTCTTCAGCATGTTTTATACATCCCTTTTTTAAAAGCAGGTCCCTCGCCTCCCTTGCTTTCCCCAGTTTAACGCCTTGTGAACTTGAGCCTTCATCAAAGAGTGTTTGAAAAATGTGTGAAGGCTCCCTTCGCTGCCCTTGCAAATCGCCTAAAAAGCTGTGTTGCTACAAGACATCTGGGCACGTCAAGGCCGGGAAGCTGTATATCTAACCATGCTCTTCTTTTGGTTCAAACGTGGATCAAATAAAATATGAAGGAGAATAAGAATTGATAAAATTACCAGATATACAAAAAAACATTCTGACATTATGAGGCCTTGGTGCCCTTGTGAAGCTCCTGTATATATCTCAGGGTGTTTTCTATTTGTACTTTACTCAAGCTTTATTCAGATTTAAAAGTCCTGGCAAAAACAGGCAGCAGCATAGTTACAGTCAACAAATGAAAAACCAGAACAGAGAACATATCAGAGTCACAATCAGAAACATCAATAAATAATCTACAGACAAACAGAGTTGCCTGCTTCTCGGTCATAAAGGAGCGCTTTGGAATTACCAAGAGAGACCAGTTTCAGTTTATATTGCAGCTGGTTCAAAGCAAGTGGAGCAGCTTAACTAAATGCCCTTTTCCCAGCTCAGGGTGGACTTTTGGGACTGGTAGTAAGAACAAGTCCTCAGAGCGAAGCCGATGAGATCCCGTTCTTTACTGATGGATATACAGTTGCAGATGAGGTGAAAGAACACCAAGAACAGCTTTATAAATAAGGATCTGCCAATTGTTTAGTCTAGGGATGGTCAGGGCAGACCAACCATCCCAAAGATAGATATGTGTAATGAATCTGGTGGATGATATCCAATATGAGTAGGCATGTAGAAGATGCATTCATATAAACAACATCAACACAGACATAAAAGTTTCAGTGACAAGTTTCTTTTTGGCTTCAATAGAAAAACAAGACTTGCTTCTAAAGTATAAACCCACATTTTATCCTTCATTTAAGGAATATCAAATGCAAATGTTTTTTTATAAATTAAATGCATTATGCGCATGTAATTCAGGGTGTCCGCGGGGTCTTAAAAAGTATTGAAAGTTGATAAATCAATTTAGCGAAAATGAAGGCTATTAAAAAGTATTAAACGGCATTTTCCAAGGTATTACATTTTGCAGCATGTTTTCAATAAGTATATAAATTGTCCAAAGAGGTTGTATTCTACAGTTTGCCTGAATGTAATCATTGCGTAGGTGTGTAGTGTGATTCTGTGTAGTTTATTTATGGCATCCTGTTGGATTTGACGTCATCTGAACAGGACATCGCACGCTCACTGCTTGATAGCACGTGAAGGTCCGTTTACGCCGGTTGTTAAAGTGGACCTATCATGCTATATTTGAATAATATAGTGTAGGACCATACCTATATAAGGCATATTTATACTTTTTTTTTTTCAAAATACCAAACAGTGGCATTTTAGCCATGCCTCATTTTGCCCAATTTGACAATTTCTAGCTCTGTTTTTGCAAGGGCTGATTCAGTGAGAACAGCACCATCTACAGGCCTGGCATATGTACTACAGCATCTCCAGGGCTTTCGAACGGCAATGGCCGTGGCTGTCTCCTCCTGATTGGTGGAGTTGGCCCAATAGCCGTAGCGCCACCGTCCTGACGTCAGGACAGTGTTCAAATCTGGATCCGTTTTTATCAGATCCATTGCAGCCCCTTTTTTAGAGATTTGGGTATGGAGGAAAATAGAGAGGGTTGTGTTTTCTGACACTTGGTGAGTTCCCTGGAACACCGGGGACACATATTCATGTGTAAAAGACGTACAAAAGTGCATTTTGCATGATAGGTCCCCTTTAAACAACATCGTTATGGGGAAATGCAAGTTTGCGTCCAAATGGTTGGAAGATAAGGAGGAAGGACAATCAATACTGTATATAGTAAATGTGAGGTAAAGTGTGTCGCCAATGTAACCGGTTACAACTCGAAGTGGCGATGAGGTCTTAAAATGTATGGAAAGGGTCTTAAAAAAGGTCTTAAAAGGTTTTACATGTGACTTCAGGATTCCTGCATATACCCTGTAATTGCTTCATCCTAGATATGACTTCCAGTCCTCTCGAGGCCCAGAGTTAGCATTTAGATCCATGCTATGAAGACCAGTTTGTTTTCTTACCACTGTGGATCAAGTAGATGAAAGGGAGCTTGTTATTCCAAGGTCATCCATATGCTTCGGCTAATGTGCGTCACGCAAATGAACTCTTTATTTATAACTGTGCAAAGCCAAGGCGGCGTGGCATCAGAAACAAACGTACATTGCTTAGTAATTACTCTGAACATGGAAATGAAGCTTGGCGATCCTGAAATAGTCTTTTTTATATAGCTCAGAAGGCCAGTGACATTTCGATTTGTTTCTACCAAGTTAATGAGGATGTTGAACAACCGACATGTTGTTTGTGCTTTTGCTTCTCTGTGGCGAAGGTTAATGCGTTGTTGTGGTTCCTCGATATCGTTACATGCCTTTGCCTGTCACTGATTAAAATCTAAATGATATCATGGATGGGAAAACAAAGAAAGCATATTACAATTAAGAGAGCTGGTATTGGAAATTAAACCCATCAGATGTGGAATGAGTCTTTTTCTTCCTTTCCCTGAGAAATAGACATGGCAATCTACGCTCATCAAGTGAACCTCTCTGCGACAACCTCGTCAGGCACGACATGAAATTGCATCGGACCTGCAACCCTGACGATTAATTTTCATAAACCTCATTAATTTGAAGATGAATTTATAGCCGTCGACAAAATAGCCAATTATCGGCCACAGCAGAATTCACTGGGCAGCAAATTGGTTTCTGTACGGGTGGAGAGAGCAGGGAAGGATGGGGAAGCTATGTGTGATTCTCCAGTCATCGTCTCAGAGGAAGAAGAGGGAACAGAGTTATGTAGCTATAGCATGACGTGAGCGTGAGATATGGATACATGCAGGGATGGCAGTCACAGTTTGATGCTACGTTGTTCCCTTGGATATAAAAAGGATTCAAGGACTATTGGAGATGTAGCTCAGTTACAGAACAAGCTAGGACACTACCAAGACAGTGTGTATGCAATATTTTCAGTTATGACTTGGCTGACACTATTTGCCTTATTATTGTTATACCACATGTACTGACTTAATCCACTTTATAATTAGAGGTAACACCAATTGCTTACACAGGCCTTACAATGGAGGTTCCTCTCTCAGCACATCCACTAAGTGTTTTTGTTAGAGGAATTATAATTATGCATTGGTGTTCAGAACATGATTCCTAACTAACTTCAGTGCCATGCAGTAAGCATCTATGACGGTACAATGGTCCGTGAAACTTGCAGACAAGGTACAAAATTAGCACCGTTCGCCTGCCAAATGCAGGTAAAATATGCAATTAGCTAGTTTGTTTTCATTGCTTACCGGCCAAATCTCATAATAGAATCTTAAACTTCACTTGCAATTTTGCTTATTGACTTAACATCTATTTTGCACCCTGTTCCCCGAAACAAAAGAGAAACTAACTCCCAAGTTTGATTGAGTTAACATACATGGATGAGGTTTCCTCTGCATAACGTCCAAAATGAAACGCATGCAAAAATAGCTTTTTTCCAATGTATCCAGGTTGTTTGTCTTCCTCTTTCACCGAGTGGCTAACTAACACAATGTCCTCCACAGAGGCACATATCTCTGTTTAATGGACAGCATGAGGTTTGCTTTAACACCATCTTGCCACACTGTCTCACAGCTGTATCTGGTCCTCTTTGCAGGTGACTAAGATGGTGAAGACGGTGACCACTCGAACAGTGCGCCAGGTGCCGCTGGGCCCCGACGGCCTGCCGCTGCCCGAGGGCTCGTCCCCGCTGGGCAGCTACACCGACTCCATCGACCGGCGCTACATGAAGAACGGAGGTGACCGCTTCATCACGCCTCAAGCATCCTCCACCCTGACGCGCTCCTACAACAACTCCTACAACGACTCATACGGCGAGGCGCCCGAGAGCCAGTACGTCCGCCACTACGGGCTGCACGATGGCTACGCCGATCTGACGGAGAACTACGGCAGCCTTTCACGTGGGGTCAACTTCCGGCCGCCTCGCTACCCCTACATGCCCAACAGCTACCGGCCGGAGAACAGCTACACCCTGCCCATTCGCAAGGATGACTACGGCCACGTGGCCCAGCCCCAGGTGCCCATGGGCAGCAGCACCGTGGATCTGAACCGCTCGCAGCCCGAACGCTTCCAGGCCGAGCCGTACGGCCTGGAGGACGATCGCCGCAGCCTTCCCCCTGAAGAGGAGGAGCCGTACGAGCTGGAGCCGGACTACTCCACCGCCAACCGTCGTACAGGCACCCTGCAGGGGCCCAACCGGGGTCGCACCCACCGGGAACCTCTGCGCGATGGGCCCCGAGTCAGGTGAGGATACAGTGCAATAATCAAGAGAGAGCAGAGGTTTTGAAAGTTTGTTTGGGGGTTTTTTGGGGCCTGTTTAGCATTTATTAGAGTTCAAAGGTTTTATTGTCATATGCACAAAGCTACAGTGTAGAAATGGCAATGAGAATATTCTGACCTGAGCTCCTCCAACAATTCAACATACATAATAAAATACAAAAATACAAAACAAAAAGTAGTGCAGAAAGTCTATATACAAGTAAATAGAATATGATATGTACAAGAACAGAATATGAAATACAATTATGTAAATTAAATACAGTTTATTGTGTGGATAACTATTTATATAAATAAGTATATTGCAAGATGACCAACTCAGAGTGGGATTAATCGGGAGGACATAAGTAAAAAGAGCACAGGCTGTATTCAAACCGCAACAGGGACTGAGCACAGTAGAGTTTTTTTTAGATATGAGTAGATTAGAAGCCGATTAGTAGGCATGCATTCTCTGGCTATGTTTAAAGACCCCTGCCTTGATGCGCATGAGGAGTAAAGCATATGATCAGATTCTGTCTTTACACACTTTTGACTTTGCTCTGACACTTAAAAACACTATCTCTCTCAAACACACAAACAAGCTCTCAATAAAACATCTTACTGTACACTACAATGGACCGTGATACAGATATTACACAGATGAAAAGTAGTTTTATAATCAGTACCAAAACCACCCAGATTGTACTGATGGATTTAGCCTACATCCAAGATGTAAT